TCCACGCACACAAAACCCTTCAATACTTTACCCGATCCGGGAATCGAACCCGAGACGCACTTGCGACCATTCGTTACCGGCTTTTTGGGGATTAGGAATTTGAGGACTATTAGGGATTCTGGGATTGGGGAGATTGGAGAAAAGGGGAGAGGGGTAGTATGACCTCCAGGAACCTCACTCACATGATGTACAACAACGCAAGCGTTGTTTCACGTCGGTTTTCTGAGAGGCCGTGGTATCGCTTCGGTCGATGGGGCCAATTCGTGCCGAAGCACGACTCTCCAACTTTCTCTTTCTTCTCTCACTCTTTCTCAAACAAATTTCGTCGTTCGTTCATTACCGAAATTAATTTAGAAATAAAATAATAACTTCCGACACTGTCAACAGAAGTTTATTACTTACATTACATCCAATATTGCTTGAAGTTGATGACGTCATGAACAGAGCGTTGGAGGCACTACTCACGACAGTTAAGCGCAATACATCACGTGCCTAGTAAAATATTCATGAGCCTCTACTTCATAACTTCTCGGGACCTACTTAGATAGGTCCTGCCCTTAATATTAAGGACATTCCTTAACTTCTTTTGTAGTTATTGGTGGTGAATAATAAAGATACGTCTTGTAATTCTTTTTATTTATTTTAGTTACGTCTTTTTTCTTTTCTTATTGCTATCCACAGAAATATTAAAACTTAAAAAACGGAAGTGGCAAGGGGCCGTGTCGGCGACGCTCGCAATTGAGCGTTCTGCTCAATGTAGGAAAATATGGCAGTCACCGCGAGTTAGTCTGTTGTCACCCGCAATCGTACAACAAACGATAAAATGCCGCCTTGTGCAGCAGTTTCGTGCCGAAATATAAGCCAAACAAAAACTGTAGAAGTCATGGCATCGGTTTTCATGTGTAAGAACAAATATTTACAATATTTATCTTAAAAATCACGAAAAAGAACAAGTTATTACTTTATTTTTATTTTTCTTTATTACTCCGACTGTATTATGTCTACATTAATACATTGCTTTTTTACAACCTCCTTAGTGTGACACTGAGTAACTAAACCAGCAATGTAACTTATTTATTAAATTTATGTTGCTATCTATGATCATATTATTCAATTCGTATCACTTCTCATATAAACGTGCCATTCAGTTTTTATTTAATTTTTCTTTTTTTCAATGTTTTACTTTTACTGTTTGTTTTTCTTCTTAATCGCTACTTAAAATCCGATGTAGGTACCTACATAGTAAGAAAGATTCTTTATCTCGGTATCTACTCTACTATACTCAAGCGTTCTGAATTTTCTTCTGCAGTGTAGTTTAGTATTACAACTCTTATTTAAGAGTTGTACTGCCTCGTTGACCGTGTAGTCGCAAGTGCGACTACCGGGCAAGGGGTCTCGGGTTTGATTCCCAGGTCGGACAACGTATTAAACTGGGTTTTTAAAAAAATTCTCAGTAGTTCCACGGAGTCTGGAATTGTGTTGATAAAAGGCTAAATGTTGTGTTATTAAATTACAGTACCATGGACAATTATTTGTTCAAAATGGTACAGGAATTTAATCGAATGAATACCTATGTCTCTTAAACACTACAAAGTAAATTTTTATAACTTTTATAGTATTACCTCCCTTCATACATTGTAATAAAGAATAATTTGGATCGTATAATAAAATAAAACGTCATTTTATAGATCCTGCGAATCGGGAATTTATTACTTTCATAGTCACTGGTTTTATTGAAGTTGGAAATAGTGTCTCGATAGACTAAATTGCTTTTTTCGGTGAACGATTTTCATTTACTATCATAATATAATAGTATACCTCTATAATAGAACAATTTTTTACGTAATAGTTAAAGATATAGGTACTAAAATATACATACCTATTGGTATATTTCTTTAGCTTTAATCTAGTAGACTGCCTCGGTGGCCTAGTGGTCGCAAGTGCGACTACCGGCCAAGGGGTCTCGGGTTCGATTCCCGGATCGGGCAAAGTATTATAGGGTTTTTTAAAAAAAAATCTCAGTGGTAGCACGGCGTCTGGAAATGTGCCCGGTATATGGCAATAGGCTCACCCCCTATTACATGGGGCTCATAACATAAATAGTGAAAAGTGGGTGTTACTTCTGTGTGCACCTCTGCCTACCCCTTCGGGGATAAAAGCCGTGATGTTATGTTATGCTTTAATCTAGCTTATTAAACCCTTTGGAGTATTACCTTATAAGTTTTAGGAACACAGAGTTGTACAGCTAAGTGTAATAAAAAATAATATCAAGAAATTCTCCGTAATTCCATTATACGAAACGGATATTTATTGGAAAATAAGGCACAATTTTGGTAATGGATGGACAATATTATACTGTATAAAGAAATCTCTAGGGGTCAGGGAAAAAAGACGAACTTTATTTATCAACCTCAGGGATGTGCTGAGGACGTTTTATCAGAGGAAAAGTTTGTGTTGTCTAACGGGAATTTACGATGAATCATAATACGCCGATGGCTATGTATTGATTTATGGTAAGCTCTGCGGTATGGCACATAATGATACATTATGATAGACATTTTATAGCATTATATCATTTTATTATGACAGCCCTATCTTTATTCTGTTCTATTGTCGAATGATCCGTTTATTTAGCTAGAAACATTTTTTAGTAAATAGATAGGCACTAGGCAGTAGTAGTTACACTTATCCTACTTATCTCCTAGCATTAGCCCGATATATCCAAAAATGTGTACATATAGGTTTTATGGGACATTTGAGATTGGGGATGATATTAGAACAAATATGACTTATAGCTAATAGCGGCGATGTCGCGCAGCCTACTGGCATGACTGACATCGCCGTGATGCACGCTGCTCATGAGGAAGAAACCCTCTGTGGTTCGAAACTAGTAGAGTTTTTCTCAGTATATTCACGTGAGTAACCCGCGATTATTAGTTAATAAAAACTATTACAACATTCAAATACTTTATGGGGATGGTCAGTAAAACTCGAGATTTAAGCGTAATGTTTTAGTAATATATAGAGCCGCAGAGGACTTAACCGGTAACCGGGGCTCCGGCTCGAAGTGAAGGAGTAGGAACGGGGTGGTTTTTGTCAGTAAGAGTCTGACACTCCCTCTCGCTTTACCCGAGCGAGAGAAGCCATTGGATAATTTTACCCCCTCAAAAAAAAGATCTAGTAATGACAATCGATGTGCCTATATAAGATCTTCTGTATAACAATATTACATTACATAGAATAGAAAAAGCCGTTATGCATTATAGTTTCATGAACAATCTAATATTGGAAGCATATTTAAATAATGGCGGCGTTCGCCCACGGTCGGCGACCGACCGACCGAGTGTTCCGACCAAGATATTGCGAATATTATTCCAATACATTTATTGAACAATATCACATTCCGATATAATAAGAAACTTATATGAAATGATATTGGTTTTAATAAAAGGAGAAGTCATTATTCTGATCCTTATAACTATTATGAAATCGGTAATAAGTTTGTTTGTTTACAACTTAAAATTAACTACAACTAAACTATTAAATAAAAAGAAAGTAAAAGAAAACAACAAAAATTATACCCTTAATTTAGGCGTCAAAGTATTCGTCCGCATCACTATCACAGGGGAACGTTCCCAGAAGACTAGCAGCATTGCCACGTTGAATGGCAATGCTTATTTTCTATCCGAAGAAAAAGCCAGCCCTCTGGTCACGCGTAGAGTCGATTAGCCTACGGGCGATATCTTTAAACACAGAGTGTGCACTGGGACCTCATGGCCCAAGTGTTTCGACCCCAAACGGCTCAAAACAGTAGTTACCCACTAGATTTGAATATTTACGCCGTTTGAGGGCCTCTGCCGCGGAAGCAGCCGCACCAACGCATGCAGCGGTGCTTAAAAGATGTGATGGCGCAAGGGTGTCTATTTGTTTGTTTATTTGTTAGTCTCTTTATCATAGTTTAGCGTTCACTATTTAAGCCAATTTGAATAAAAGCTCCAGAGAATGTTAAAGATTGCTTATTATAAAAATAAATTGGAAAAATACGGAACGATTAAAAAGAAAAAAAATTGTTTTCATTCACTACACACAGACTCGTAGGTTAATCTATCTATATTCTATATACATATAATAAAATCGTAGAAAAGTCAAAACTGTAGGTACATTTAATATTTTGTTAAAAGAATACTTGAGTCGTGATCTACAATCGGCACCGAAGACAAAAATATGGTTTTTAGAATTTTTGTCTGTATGTCTGTTTGTCTGTATGTATGTCCGGGATAATGTCCAAAAGTACTGTATGGATTTACTTTAAATTTTGCATGAATATTACTAACACTACGAAAGTTGTTTAAAGATAAATAAAATAAAAAAACATATAGGCTACATATTATCACGCTATCATCTACGGAGGAGGAGCTGTGAATCACAATTCCACGCGAACGAAGTCGCAGGCAACACTGCAACAGCTAGTTTCTAATAATTATCAACATGTGTAGTGGCGATGGCGAAATCACGAACGACTATGAAACATTACAAAATTTTCAACTTTACAAATAAGTAAGAGCTTATTCCTTATGAAGAAAATGTTTACAAACTCCTGAATGAAGCGCAAATTATTAGGAAATAGAACAAAGGTCAAATAACCAAAAACAATTCAATAGAAAACTTTAAACAGTCATTTGTTATCGAATGGCACAGTTCATTTACCCCTTCATTAATTTCATGAGTTCAAGGTCTTAATTTTCTAAATGCCAATGCTTCCTTCGGATTAATAAGTAAAATGTTGATGTAATTTACTGAACTCTTCACAATAGCTTGACTGAAAAACAAACTTTTAATAATTATAAGTGCCCACTTAAGTTAGCTAAGAATTTTCAAGTTAGTTACCAACTACCGTAAAATATACTATGTATACCGTAAAATATATTGTGTAATAAAATTATTACTAGCTTTTGTTCCAAATCTATACTTAGCTATTAACACATTTCATTAACTTTCAGAAACTCCTGCCACTATGGGCCTCAAATGGCTATTTGTAGTGGCGTGCACGCTAGCATGCGTGAGCGCCGATCGCGGTGGATCATCGCTGCGAGGTGCGCTTGAAGCGCTGCAGCGGCGCCAGCGCGGCCGTATGCATGGACCCATCCTACCACAACCTGACTACGATGCCCTCTACGAATTCGTACCACCGCAAGGATACCCTGGTATGTAAACTAATAAGAATGAAGGCAATATTTAATATAACTTGAATGTCCTTATTCCCACAGTTTTATTACACAAAATTCTGCCAACTATCATAAACCAATGTAAAGAAAAATATTTAAAATTCTTTACTCTCGTTTCAGAACCTGACTACGCTGTTGATGTCGAAGACATTGATGAGGAACCTAACCCAAAATACATCGTGAAACTTCTAGATGACAACGAAAGGCCACCTGAGGCTTATGAATATAAACTAATAAAGAAGAAGAACACGGCCAATACTGCTGCTAAGAAAGAATCAGCGTTCCGGGAAAGGAGCCACCACTCCGATAATGACCGACTTCGTGAATTATTCATGGATAAAAATAAAGGTGAGGAAAAGAAGGAACTTGACGATGCACCTGACAATGATGCTGAGTACGCACTACTCTTGGGACAACTTTGGTCAAAGTACAAATACAACAAAGAACACGCTAACAATGTTGAAACTGCACCTCAAGGAGTTGTAAAACTTTATAAAGAGAAAATTGTCAAGAAGCGATATCCAGATAATTGGGGTCCTATTGCTTTTAAAAGGAAGCGCAGTTCTGATCCCGACTCTGATAGGCCGATAGTATTTGACTACGAAGGCAGGAAAAGCAGCCCAGGACCAGTAGTAGATCCTAATTACAATGCATATGACGTTTCTGATGATGATAAAGATGATCTACGTGAAGAATATGCCATCGCATTCCAGCCACTTGATGATGACAGCTTGTCTGATCTAGCGGATGAAGATCAATACACTTATGACGCAGTTGAGAAGCGCTTCCCAGTAACAAAACGCAGTAGTGGTTCTTACAACCTCAATACTCAAAAGAAAAGATTTGCCCAAAACCAAAATAAACGTGACACAGCCAAGTCATTCCGAAGCAGTGCCGGAACTGATCCCAAACTTATAAAGGATCTTTCAAAAATCTTCGGTGACTCTGAAATTGAGGTTATTAAAAATCCAGTAAAACGTAATACTGATCATGAAGAACACGAGCATGAAGTTAAGCCACCAATGCTAACACCCGTACATAATTTGACTCATGAACATAACAATACTGCTGTACATGATGATAATAGCCACGAACATCATGGTCACAGCATTCATCATCCAGGAATTTCTGGTAAAGAAGTAGAGCACACGCATGAACATACTCAGGGACACAGCCATGGGCACGATCATGATCATACTGAAGAAAAGAAACAGAGCGACCAAGATAAACCACTTAACATCCGAAAAAAATCTATCGATTGGTCTGATTACTTCGGCATTGACAAGCGTATTAACAAACAGGTCTCTTTTGTAAATGGTTTAACTCAGGACAGACTGAGGAAGCAGTACTTTGACACCTTTAACAAAGAAGTAATTTACCCTGTGAACTCATTTCGTAAACATAGCAACGTTAAAAGGAATTATGTCGAAACTAAACCCAACGAAGAAACTGAAATTCAAATAGATAGAGCCCATCTTGCCGTCAAAAATGACGACAAGAGGAGTGCCACTGATAATGATTCTAAACTTGACAACATCGACAAGAAGTTACGAAACATGGAAGGACTAATTGTGGATGAAGCTTTACATTATTCAAACGTTGGAGAAGAACTCGATTCTAAGGAGGAGCAAGAGATGAAGGAGAAGTTGCTGTCTCGTTTAGCTGCTGCTTACAGCTTGGAAAAGATGAGGAAAGCTTTGAAAGAATTTAAGCAGAGTCTGCAAATCCAAAAAACAAAATCTAATGCAGCACCGTCTCCGATTCCCACTGATGAGGCTAAGGCTAAGCGCGTGGCAGTAAAGAAGGAGAAAGTGGAATTAATGACCAATGACATTCCTGGATTTGAGAAGAATAATGACTTTGAAGATGAACAAGGAGCTGGCCATTACTTGAATGGAAAAATTGAGGAGCAGTTCTCCGAAGGTTACATGGGCGGTAGCGGACGACACCGCAACCCTGTTTTAGCCACAGGTAAGAACATTTTCAATGGCTTCTTAAAAATAAGTGTAGCCTTACATGATAGTAAAAACAAAATATTTATATATTCTGTTTTGTAGTTGCTGCATCTGGAGCCTGTCCGGTTCTTGCCAAGATTGTACAACGTTGCCGAGGAGTAGACTTGCTGGCAGGAGACCGCGGGCAACTGTTCCTACCGCTCTGCAGCTTACATCAAATCTGCTACCTTTGCGTAAGGATTTTCATTCTATTTTACTTATTTATTAGAATAAAAGCGGCGATAATGACGATTATTTAATTATTTTGTTTATCCTTATAGGGAGAGGCTCCACCAACGACCTGCGACCTGGTATTCCTTTCTGAAGCCGATACGACTTGTGAGGGAGACATGAGTTGCCAGCGAGCTGCTCGCTCTGCGCTGATGGCTCTGCGGGAACTCCACGACAACCTGGCTGACGAGCTCGACGGAGAGTGCGAGGCCAGTCCCTGCCTGCCAGCCACCCTCAAGCTCAACATGGGGTGGCAGCGAGCGTTCCAGCGATAAACTATCAACACTAAGCATGCGACATTACTCAAGGCGAGAATCACTTCAGCCACGTCACATTTAATGGACTAAGGCTTTTCTTCATGTCTCTCAGCGAGCTGTACTCGTGATCAGATGGTATTAATGTACTTTCTTTTAATCGTCACCTAAAGGTATATCATTTCACCATTAGAATAACTAATTAATCTTTGTTATTGTATTCGTACGAGTCTAACCAGCCATAGACCCGTAGGGATATAGAGTTAAGGTTCACACAAAGTTGATCTCAATAGTTACGCCAGCTAGATGTTACTTATGCGATAATTCTACGCTTTCATTGTTAAATGTAATTTGAAATTATTATTATATTATATTGAACGTTGTATTGACTTTTGCTAGATATGTTTTTGCGATTGTATTCCAAGTGTAGTCAACTTAATGTATGTGGATCTTGGGGCAGGATTAGATGTGAGGTTTTCAAAAAATCGATGTGTTTATGAATGTCTTGACTTGAGATGGTAAATATATTGTTATTAAGTATTTACTTACATATATTTGTATTAAAATGTGTCCACGTAAGTATTGAAATTAATCAGAATACTAAGTGTATATTAAATGTATGTAATTCCAAAATATGAGACTATTATAAATGGGAGTATATTCCAGTGTATTGAGAAATATCATATAGGTACATTTTACATAGATATGTACCTCTATTTATATTTATATCTATATTTTCTATTCGTTTAATTAATATTTAGGAATAAAGAATTGGAAAAGTGAGTTCTAAACAGTATTGCTTTGTCTGTTGTCCCCCCCAGCCACCATCTGGCCTGAGATTGAGAGCGCATGTACTAATGTAGCATGGAACTTAGACTTTACTAGGACAATAAATCATTTGGTTGACACGGGAGTGACGCGGCCCAGCACTGCTGAACCGCCAGCAGTAGCAGGTCTGACGTCACCAAGTGTCTTTTAAAGAGTGGATACACTCGCTCTCTAAGTCTTCCGATCAAAATTTGGCTTCAAAATGTCCTTTGTACCGAATCTGACCGCGTTGTTTACAACTCCCTTGCGAAATTTACAATGTTTTATCTCGAAATTTACAATAAATGTTAGTCGGAGTGATGAGAATTAGATAGAATTATATGAATGTAATTTATTATAAAGATACTACTGTACGGTATGTACCGGTCGTTTTAACAACTTGAATGTTATCACTTTATTCAAGTATTATTACTAACACCCAAATATAAATGGTTTTCAATAAAAAATGTTTCAATCATATCTTCATTTTTGTACTACCTATATTGTTAACGCGTATCCCTGAATCTCCCTTTTCCTAATACCTCATTACTGAGGATCGTAACTCTATCATTTTCAATCCATAACCCTACTGAATATAGGAATTAAAAACAAGTTTTTTGCCCAGAAACTAACAAAAAAACAACACCAAAATTATCGATAAATACATCATCATTCGATTAAAACCAATAAAGAAAATAAAATGGCAAAGCAACAAAGGAATGACGTAAAAATCCCTTTTCAATTTATTATACAGATTAACACACACGTTAATACAACACATATGATTAACATTGATGTAATTAATGTACCAATCGCAGTACACGTCGAAGCTGACTCGATAATAACTGAGATATTTCCTATTGATAACTCGATAGCAACGAGTAAAATTCTTGATAACACAGTTTGTCCATACATGGACAACAAATAACATCTACCTGTTCGAAGTGAAAGAAATAGTGAAACTTAAAAAAAAACGGTAATAAAGGTATCCCAAAATGGCGGACATAGGACAAGAAAATAAAGGAGTTGATAATCCTGGAGCTACTACAGGTAAGTGGAACGTTAATTACATTGTTATACGGTTCAATATTAAGTAGATAAGATATAGACAGAACATTAAACATGTTGAAACAGGAAGCAAGGAAATACTCGTATGTATTATATATATATTAGGTATATATAAATCGTCCATTATTGTCTTTACCGTCCTGTCTAAGTCTTAAGGAAAAATCATCAATTCTCTTGAGAAATATGTAGGTAGATTTTCAAAGCAGTTTAATAGGAAATACTTACTGCTAATAATTTGCATTAAATGTAAATAAAAACAAATTTTATTTACGTTGAGTAAAAAGAACTGAAATTCAAACATTGATATCACACTTATTGATTTTTTTTTTATTAATTTTGACATTAAATTAATAGTAATCTAACAAAACGCCCTTCCTCTCTCCTACCAAATTTTAAATGTGGCTGTGCCCGACAGGGTTCATAATAGTTACTCATTTTTTTTCCTAACCACCTGTATATGTACATAATAGCTGCAATATATAGGTACTTGATTACATACACTTAAACTGTCAAACACCAAGCGGTCACCGGTTACCGCAACCTATTGTACTTTAATTATGTCTATAATGATGGTACTCAAAGAGTTAATTGAATTTTTAATGCGCAAAGCAAAGGAAATGAATCCCAAAAAAATATATAGATACTCATTGAACAGACAAACTTCGTGCAACTTCAGCACGACTAAATAAACACAGCTGTCCCTTATACCTACCTACTATATATATGTTACATGATTTTTATGTTATTTCCAGACGACGGGACACCTGCGAGACCAGACTTAGTTATCAGTGTACAGCCAATGCAAGGTAACCTTCACAAACATTATCAGACGTGTAAAAAATGCCTGAACGAGGCAGAGCCAGAGTGCTCGCAAGTGTGACTGCTGGGCAAGAGATCTCGGGTTCAATTCCCGGGTCGTGCAATGGATTACTGAGCTTTTAAAAGAAAAGTAGTAGGTAGTAGCACGGAGTCTGGAATTGTGCCCGGTATACGGCAATAGGCTCACCCCCTACTACATAGGATTTATATAATATAAATAGTGAAAAGTTGGTGTTACATTGTACAGTGGCATTAAGTACTGTAATGTGCACCTCCGCCTACCCTTCAGTGGACAAAAGGCGTGATATTATTTATTTATAAATAAAATATCGAATACGTATAACAGTTACAGATATTATCAGAAGTAATCCTTTGCAATCCCTTTGTTCTAGATACACGAATGAAATAAAGGATAAAATACTATAACTAATTAAAATTAAAGTAATTTGTACGATTTGTTTTTTACTGACGTTTGATTAAAATCATCAAAAGCCTAACCTAACCTAAAGTATAGCAACGCGTGGTATCATGAAAGTAGTTAGAAACTTTATAATGGAATTCAGAATCACAATAAAATCGTTTATGTTATTATAATAACTATAGTTAGACATACTACATTAACTAAAAACCTTAGAAATCTACTGTGAAAAGCTTTACTAGTTTCGAAGTTAGACTAGTTTCGAGGTCGCTGCGACCGCGCACGCTGCTCATGAAGAAGAGCCCCTCTGTGGCTCGAAATTACTACAACTTTTCTCAGTATTTTCACGTGAGTAATCCACGATTTTTAGTGAAAGCGTTTTTGTTCAGGAACAGCTCGTGCTCAGTTACCAGTGCCCACTGTGGACTGGCGTACCAACAACCGAGGGCAGTTCATCCCCATACATGGACTGGAGTTCCTCATCGGCGTCTCCAGCCTGCTCATACAACAAACAGTGGAACTGAATGATCGTAAGTTTATTTTTTGTACGTAAACAGATCCAAGTTAGTTAGAAATAATAAGGTAACAAGAGGAAAAACAAATAATAGGCATTCTTGATATTGTCCCAATCCAGACAGTCTACCAGATTTGGACGTGGAGGCTTGATCAAAACATACCCAATAAATAACTGAAATTACTCAATTACGTCTTTTTTGTGTAATCACAATAAATATTTTAATATTACGATGTTTGAAACATGGACTTCAACTCCGTCTTTTCTGCTTTTTTATATATAATAATTAATATACTAAAACCTTCTCCTACGTATAACAAACACTTTTCTGAAAACAGTATCAAAATCGATTCAGCTGATCGCGAGATATTCGCCCACAAACACACCTACATACATACAACTGTGAACATGCTTAATTTTTCTTTTTGAAGTCGGTATAAAAACTAAACAGCAACACTTTATAACATGTACCTACATAATAATATGTATGACTTTTATTCAACTTTGTCAAGACTGATTTTATCTAAAGAATTCATTGATCAGATTCTTAACAAATGACTCACGATAATTGCCATATTTAAATAAAAATAGATGCTCGAGTTTACACGCAAGTCAACAATGAAAGGTTGCCTTTTCACCCATACGACTGTATCTATTAGATAGGCATGACGATCATACAATATAATTGAAAACAAGAAACTATCGGTCACTTGTGAACAGCATAAAGTAGATAAGGCTAGGTACATGGGTACTAGATAACACTAATCAATAACTAATTTCACAATGTTTAGCCACCTTGCCTTTAGCCGGAAATATTTTTGATAAACATTATATTTGAAGGGAAATGACAATAACTTTTCACCAGTTACGACACACACAGACACACAGCTATATATTTTACTGAGTGATAAATAAGGAAACAATACGATGAATGCATCAATAGAGGTTGAAACTACTCGCGCAACTTCGGTACTTACATTTGTAAGGTCTTCGCGTGCCCCTGCTTTAAAAAAGCTCTGAAAATCCCCACTTAAATTACTCACAATTAGGGTTGCCAACCGTACTCTAAAATAGAGTATTGTCCTCTATATCCTGTAAGCGTACTCTGTAATCTATAACACTAATAGAGTACGCTAAAATACTCTTTTTACAATGTTTACTTAACTAGTGCCAGTGTGTAATAATACGCAGAAACCCATACAGACAAAATAAAAAAATCTACAATTTACTGTTAATATGTATGTTGGTATCACCGATTGCCCAAACACAGCAAGAGTAGCTCATCAGTACCATTTACTGAAAGAGTCTTTTCGGTCATGAATGTGAAGTGGGAATTAAAAAAATAAAAAATTGTTACAT